TTATTTTTAGCATTTTTATGCATATCCTGCATGGTCACAATTTTGACCCTTTGGTTGACACAGATTGCGTTTTCTTGAAACACCCTATATATATATATATATATATATATATATATATATATATATATATATATATATATATATATATATATATATATGTGTGTGTGTGTGTGTGTGTGTGTGGTGTGTGTGTATGTATGTATATATATACATATACATACATATATATATGTGAAGAAGAGGTTGGGGGCATAGAGTTGGTGAATGAAAGGGGTCTTGGCTTGCTGGTTTATTGGGGAAGGTACAGGTGTGACCCCACGAGAGACCCCGTGCTCCAGATGCCGAGGGCGGAGGGTGAGCTAACTTGTTCTGGTTCTGCTCCTGTTCTCCTGTCTGCTCGGTCTCTCCGGTTTGCCTGACGAGATGCCCTTTTATCCAATGACTCCTGTCCTGGGCAGGTGCCCGCTTCTGTATTTTGGGGCGTCAGTTCTTCCGGCCGTGACAAAGGGGTGAGTTCACTGAAATTGCTCGAGGGGGAGAAAGTACTTGGGCAAACAAGGTGCGATGCCAGGAATGAAGGCAGCTGCTAGGGCCTATAGGTGCGAAGGCGAAACATCCGGCTTGAATCATATCGTTGACATACTGCTTGGCCACGCAAACGGGTCGTCCTCGAGCCGTTATGGTGGCAAGCTCCCGATTGGCTTCTACAGATGGTTGCTGGTGCTCCATGGTCCCTAAGGTCGTAGTGTGGCAGGGTATCAGCGTGGCGGAGGTTTTGCAGTGAGGTGCAACATTCAGTTGCAAGGAGTCCTATGAGAAGGTGTTTACTCAGGATCTGTTAGGATTAGTGAGTTCAATAGAGTACCATTACATTATAAAGAAAAGTTAGTGAGCAAGAATTCCATATTTTTGGGCTAAATAGGCTAGTAATAATGCTTCGGACACATGTAGGCAGTTTGGTAAATGGTTTGGTCTCCGGCAGTGTAAAAACGTAAGTGCGGTGGCGCGCAATTCGTAGGCAGCTTGGCCTAAACAAGAAGTAAACGTGCGCATCTCGGGCGCAGTATGAACGTAAGTGCGAGTAATAACATACGGTATGCGCGATTCTTTTGTAGTAGATACAACGGCGTCTGGAGCGATTTCTTCATAGTAAATTCGATATGCGACTGGCCGCGGTTTATCGTAGTAAATATTAGTCATGGCCATGAGCCAGCTTAAAACTAAATTGCGGCAATAATAACTTTGTAAGCCTATATAAAGCATGGTGTCTGCATTCAGTACCCCTATTGCAACAGATTTCGACTCCATCAGTTAGTTACATGTTACATATTCACCACCTGAAAATTAAAGAAACATAATTTCAGCATTAACAAGGACAAGATATCGAATTTGAGAAGATATGAAAACGAGTTAGGTTCAGTTGTGTCAAAGGAATGGCACTTAGTACAAATCATAATCCTTGAGTGAATTCCATGTAAAGCAGTCAATAGGTGAGTAAAGAAAGTCATCAACATTTGTGAATAAGCGAACAATTACCGTGGCAAGCAAAAGCAAAGTAATTTTCAAAAGAACAAGGAACACAATGATGTGTATAAATTCAAAGAATGAAAAAACACAAGCAATAATGAAGTGATTACAAATAAACATATAATCTAAAAGAGATAAAGACACGATAACGTAAATTCGCAAACAATGAACTTGAATAATGTATGCGGGAAGACCGAGACATTACAATAATAGAATAAATTAAAGGGTGATTATTTGTTCTAGGAAAAAATAAAAGATTAAACCGTGCTGTGTGAGGACAACAATAATACGACTGACTGAAAAACACAAATAACACAATATACATCAATTGAAGAATGGTTAAGGCGGGGGAATGAGATGAGGGGAGAGAGGTGAGAGTTGTCACAAGTCTGATCATAGTGTGTGGCTTCTTTTGTAAGTGATGTTAAAACAAGTATTAAGAGTGACAAATTTGTGTGTGTTCATTAAGTAAAGGCAACTTATATGTAAGGTGTGGGTGGGTTTAGGGAGGGCAATGGTTAATCTGGCAGTAAAGAGGTACACTTACTCATAATATTAGCGAGGAAGTATCGGTGATGCAGGATAGGTGTGGCACATAGCTGTGCTGGTGGGGGTTCACGAAGACTTGACGAGGTAAGTGGGTTGGGTTGACGAGAGTGGCGTCGTAGAGTGCTAGAATACATCGTCAGCGCCTTCGTCGGGAAAGTAGCACAGGCGTGAGTGTTCAGCATGTAGTAGTGTGGCAGACATGATGTGGGTAGGTGTGGATCAAAGAAGACTTGGTAACGATGGCTGGGCGTTAAGACGAGGAGGCACTTCAGCAGAAGCTTATCATCTTTGCAGGAACGTTCAGCGTTGTGAAGTCCTTCCACAGCTGAGCCACCAGATGTGAAGAAGAGGTTGGGGACATGTGGTGGTGAATGAAAGGGGTCTTGGCTTGCTGGTTTATTGGGGGAGGAAAGGTATGACCCCACAAGAGACCCGTGCCATGGGTGCTGAGGGCGGAGGGTGACCTAAATGTTCTGCGTCTGCTCCTGTTCTCCTGTCTGCTCGGTCTCTCCGGTCTGCCTGACGAGACGTCCTTTTATCCAGACTCCTGTCCTGGGCAGGTGCCTTCTGTATTTTGGGGCGTCAGTTCTTCCGGCCGTGACAAAGGGTGAGTTCACTGAAATTGCTCGAGGGGGAGAAAGTACTTTGGCAAACAAGGTGCGATGCCAGGAAGAAGGCAAGGGCCTAGGTCCAGGCTTGAATCATATCGTTGACAATATATATATATATATATATATATATATATATATATATATATATATATATATATATATATGTGTGTGTGTGTGTGTGTGTGTGTGTGTGTGTGTGTGTGTGTGTGTGTGCGTGTGTGTGTTGATATATTATCTATAGACACACATATATTTGTATATATGTATTAATGTTTATATAAGCCTGAGGATTCAGATGTCGAAGAATCTCTATCCACGTGTAAAAAATAAGAGAAGAAAAGAAGAAGAAGAAAAAAGATTTCCCCCGTACACCGCAGGGCTCTGGCATCAGTGATTTCCTGTTTCGTAAGACCGACCCAAGGTTTTCCATAGTGGAATTGTTAACCAGGTCGATGTTCCTGTTTCCTGTCTAACCTTTTCTTCTCTTACCTGACACTCATTTGTTAATGACGACTTTGATCCCCTTTTGTCTGTCTGTCAAGCATTATGACTTGTCAAGCTGATGTTAGTTTTGTAGAGTATTGATATTTCCTCCGTGCTGGCTTTACAGGGTTAGTAATTCCCTTGCTTCCTTGGCGCGGTGGTACTCACACTGTCTCTCTCATGGGCCTTACATCCGATTTTTTTTCAATAGAACTGGAATGGAATTTCCCTTGCGGCGTCCTCGGGCGGTTAAAGGAACAGTGCAATGTCTGGAACTGGACTCTGCAAGGAGAGGTCAGTGTGTGAAAGCTGTGCAGATTGCGTAGGTTCGGTCATTGCAATGTCTACTAGGTTTATATATATATAATATTTTTTTATTTTCTTTTTTTCATTTTTAAGCGCTCATCTATTTTGTGGTTAACGTATTTCGCTTTGGATGGCGCTAACCACTAGTTATTTCCATTTCGTTAAGAAAATATATTTCAAAGTCTCGATTGTACTGTTCTGGTTTTGCAATAAAGCAGGATTCTTCGGCGCTTTAGGAAGTAGCTTATCTGAGCACCATGTATCATAATCAGGATCACCACATTTTTATGCCTTTAATTCCCTACTGTGTGTTATTTGCTTGGCGTTGGTGATGTCTTAAATGACTTTCTTTTGGAGAGCTGACATTCCTAGTACGTATTTTGCAATGGCTACTTGGCTACCCTGTGACGCCCTTTTGGCCGACCTGATCTTGGCTTCTCTGTTTTACTTTTCGACATCACTAATTGAAGATCAGAAGCTACATATATTTTCCAAGGATGGAGTATCTAATTCGGGTTTTATGAAGCACTACTATCAATGACTGCTACTGCTTCTCCTTCTGTTTCTTCTTTTATTTGCTACTATTACTCGTGCAAATGTTTGCTTCTGCTTCTTCTACTTCTCCTTCTACTACCACTATTACTACTGCTTCTACTACTACTACTACTATGACCACTGCCACTGAGCCTCCATTCTGTTCAATGATACTGACTCTCTCCATTTTCGTGTATTCTAGGAATGGTTTCTACCTGAGGGACAGTGTAGCAAGCAGTGTCCATGCATTCTTCAGGTGTGTCCTCGCCTCTCTGAATCGCGGCTCTGTTGTGGCAGAACTCCCTCCCTTCTTCCTTCTCTCATTCTCGCTCTCTCCCTGCCTCCTTCCTCTCTCTTTCTCTTTCTTGCTCCTTCTCTCCCTCGTCCTCTCTCTTTCTTTCTCGCTCCCTATTTTGCCTCCTTCCCGTCCCTCTCTCTTCTTTTCTCTCTCCTCTCGCTTTTTTTCCCTTCCTTCCCTCCCCCCCTCTCTTCTCTCTCTCCTCTCGCGCGCGCGCTCTCTCTCTCTCTCCTCTCCCTTCCTCCCTGCCCCCTCTTTCTCCTCTCCTCTCCCACCTTCTCCCTGTTCCCTCCCTCCCTCCCCCTCCTCTCCCCCCCTCTCTCTCTCTTTATTGTTGTTTTTTGTCCTCTTGCTATTGTCCTTTCTGCGTCGATTTTTTCCTGCTTCGAAATTCTAAGAGTTCTCGGGTCCTGCCTCTTCCGCTCTTAGATCAACTTTTCTTTATCTCTTTTCTTTTCTTTTTTCTTTCACTTCTCCTTCGTGGATATCATATGCTTGTTTGCTTGTTAAGTTTTGGGTACTGTTTTTTTGCGATTTTTTTTATCTGATTTTCATTATATGTCTTGCCTTCAGGTATTTTTTTCTAATATCTTTATGTTTTTGTCTTCATGTTAATCTATTCATTTTCTTATTCCTTTGTTTATTCATATCCATATCTAACCTTTTTTTCGTAGCCTCCCCTTCTTTTCACT